TTATTCAACATACCTGCTTCCTTCCTTTCCTCTTACCTTTTTCTCTTCCTTGTGGCTGGAGATGTATTCTGCTTCATTTAGCAAAGAAGTTGCAGCCATTTCTAATTAACTAAATTGAGCCCCACCCATTCCAGTAGCCCTACGCCCACGCATCTGATTGAACAACTTAAAATAAAAAGTAAAATAAAATCAAGAGTATTAATGTACTCTTGATGACAAAAACAACAACAATAATAATAATAATAATAAAATTAAAACTCAAAGGCAAGTTAGTGATAAGAAGCTTCAACTAGCTTAGTAGCTATTAGTTTAAATGGTTCTATTCTGTTTAATACATTAATCAGTTCAGTTAGTAATTCAGGTTGTGTACTGATTGTAGACATTAGTGATATCATTAGACCTGTACTCTTCTCTTCCTCTGTCTTGCTACTTCCTTCAGTAGCATTCTTATAACAATCGAATGTGATGAGACCTTCACTAAATAATTCAGGAGCAACTGCCAGTCTATTAGAAGAGACTGATAACAATTTTGATAGTGTACCAAACTGTTTCCTAAAAGCTTTTACTGCTAGTTGAGGATCAAGTGATGTTTGCTGGATCTGTTGATCTATTAAGTGTATTATTATAATCAAGTAATACATGTACATGAAAATGAAGCTAAATCAAATAAAATATTTAAATCAAATTTACCTTCTGGTCGTACATTTTCCATTGAAGTGACAGCAACAAGTGATGGAACAACTAATAATAATTATAATTACAATAATAATAATAATAATAATAAGAAATAAGAAATATAATTACCAGATAAAGGACTGGTTGATAATAAATCATTCTTTGATACTTTAATATTCCATGGAACAGTAGATGTAACAGATGGTGTCTTTATACCATCAATAGATAAAGTATGGGATATCTTGTTAGTAGCATCAATTTCATCAGGTTCTACTGATACTTGAATGTATGGAGGCTCAGCACTTGAACTGCTATAATCAACAACACTGCTTTTACTTATCTAAGTAAGTGATGAACATAATGTAATGCATTTATTAATACGAACTCACCAGTGGAGGATTGAATGGACTTATCTTCCAACCATCAATTGTATCTAAAGGAAAGTCTTTCACTTCAAGTGGCTTGTCATTAGAAAATTGAAATTGAAAGCTTGATATCTGAGTACCCAGTAATGACTGTATGCCAATGCTGTCTTCCTTTATCAACTATAATAATAATAATAAATGTATCATTATGGTTACATTATATGTAGTGTTACCTTTTTTAAATGACCCAAATTTTGAATTGCAGCTAGACTAATCATTGCCTTGTCAGTAAAACTTTTTTTATAAATTAAAGCAAGACACTTCATGGCAGGAGCTGCAAGTTTAAATGATAATCACAGCATTTTATGAATATAAAAAGTACAGTACCTCTAGTAAAGGCTCTTATAGCATATCCTGCTACTCCAACAAGAGCAACGCCCATCACAATAGCAACCAGTGAGAAACTCTTCAATTCTATAGTACCAGTCTGAGACTCAGCTGAGAATGATCCTCCTGGTAACAACTCAAACTTAAAAGGGCCGCACTGTTTACCAGGTTGAACCTCAGCTACTACAAAGCTCAGATACTCACTCTGAGATTCAGAGCTCAAATGAGCACAATGTACTAGCTGTACAGTCACTGGTTTATCCAGTTCAGGAACAGTAGGAGACACAGATATGTAACACACACTACTGATCAGATGTGTGCCTCCAGGGAACTCGAAATCTCCTCCCCATAGACCTTGAGCAGCAGCTTCATAGACAGTGCTATCCACTGGAGAGAAGAGTCCATCAGGTAGAGAGAGGCTAAGACCACATTCATCCAACTCTAACTCATGACTACTGTTAGCATTAAAGAGACACACCTTCTTACCCAATGTTACCATACCATCAAATGGTAATTCTATAAAATAACAGATTATAAATACTTAAACAATAGACTACACTGACCTGCTTTAGTCCAGTAGTCACATTGAATACTCTTAGTATCAGCTGAAATATCTTTCATTGACTGCAACTCTTCCTTTAGTTGTGATTTCTCTTTCATCAGTTTAGCTATCAGTATATCTTTATCAGAAATTTCATTTTTAAACTTCTCATTATCTAAAACAATGAAATAATACAAGT